TCTTTGGTTTTCTTCATTCTTCTTTGCTCTGGACGAGGAGAGACCCATCATTGCATCTAGATGGCTGCTTGCAAGCTTTTAAGATCCCAGTTGCTACTCACCAAAGGTAGAATAATGTTTTGTGTAGTATGTTATTCCAATTGAGCTTGATGTCCCCTGTGACTATAGTCCCAAGCCCACAGGTTCAACTACTCAGTCCCTCTGGGTAGCTGGCTGTGAACAAGCAGTGACTACAACCTTGCCCCTTGTCAGCTCTACTATATACCTGGGAATTCAGATTATACACATAAACATATAGGACCATTGTCTGCCAACGCTATACATGTTCTTTGGTACACTCCCCGCTTCACAGACATACCTACTAGTTCAGGCCATCCACCCATCTATCCACCCGTATACTCATGTTTGCCTTCACTGGCAATGCCGTCCTATATGTGCATCCTATAGGTTCATCTTTGTTGTCTGTACCTCCCATGTACCTCTCTATGTCTTCCTCTTCCTCAATGCTACCATATTGATCACTCACATTTGGTACATTGCCCTTCTCTTCACACAAATCAATACTTATCTCTATCTGTCTAACAGCCATAGCACCTTCTGATGGCTGTGCTGACACGGGCCATGACATGAGAGGGCACAGTGGGCTCCTGCAGAGGAGCCACTACTCAGGCTTCTGTTTGCTGGGAATCTCTACTCACAGGTCCTCCAGACATTTGGCTCTGCACTGAAGGAGGCTTGATCACCTTTATTTTGTCCCCAGATACCTCCCCCCCAACCACCCCATTGCATTGCAAGTCTTACTCCAGCCTTTGCTTTCATATTACCTGGACTCCAAATAAGTAAAAGATGGCAGCCATGGACACTGCAGCTGCTACGAGGTTCCTAGTTATTAGTGTTACTTAGAACACTATGCTTTTTATATGCATTTAATTAACTATAATAAAAACTAAGGTATCTCGTCCAAGTTTCTTCCCATGAAGAATACAAGTTGCAAGATAGAATGGACTGTTCTAAATGTGGAGATAAATTTATAACTCACAGGGTAACCTCAAAGAAAAATGATAAACCTTCACATCACAATAAAAAAGAAGACAAGCACAAATATTCAGCATATACTACCACAACAGCAACAAAGGAAATAATAACACGATTCATAAACATAATGAGCTCAGCACAGAAAATAATTTGGAACAAAGAAACCAGGGACACCAGGAAAAAATACATACCAAAATGACAGCAACAAATTCA